TTTTGCATTTATAAATGTACAAGCTTTGTCTTAGAATTTTACTAATGACTCGATTCTAAGCAAAGCTTGCATATTTATAAACGCAGGATATTTGAGTGATAAGTCAGTGGCATGAGAGTAACAATACTTTCGTCTTAAATAGAGACGAAAAAATTCAATTTACACACATGTTAAGATTTTATAGTTTTGTCTGAGATGAATTTAATTAAATTTAAACACGTGTCAAGTTTTTATAGTTTTATCTCTGTTTTATATAAAATTAATAACACATGTTTTTAGAGTATTTTATCCTCTTTTAGATGAAATGATTAAATAAATAATAATAATTTTATCTAATTTAAATATAAAATTTCTATTTACGTAACAAAAATTTATTCCAAACAAAAAATAAGTTTATTTTTAATTTTATTTTAGTAATTACTTTTAAAAAAATATTATTTAAATCATTAAGCCTTTTTTTCCCATTTGAAACATTTTGGTTTAGCTAAATGCCTAAATTTTATATGGATTTAATCTTACATCAGCTGAAATACTTATATTTATTTACTAACATGATTCTCATATACCCACATGACTAATTAATATCATAACCGTCCAAGTTCTTAAATTTTATAAAACTAAACTTTTTTTTTTCATAGCCTTGAGGGTCAAACTTAGAATTGTTTCTCTTGCTGTATAATTTTTTATTTTGACCATTTTATTGGACGATGAGTTAAAAGATGACATCATTCATGTCTAAGAAATGAATAAATAAAACGTATGCATAATTCAACATTTTCATGTTAAATTATTTTTTTGGATCCTTTGGTTCTATTAAAATTTTTAAAAGTCCTTATTGTTTGAAAATAAATTACATGATTCTTATATTTTATTGGTTCCTATAATATTAGTTTTCCAGATAAGTTTCTAAAATTTATTAGAAAAAACAATTTATTCTTTTTTCCTCATCTAACTTAGGATTTTAATTCATAGATGATCATCCTAAACATCATGGTTTTTTTTTTCTATTTTAATATTGTCGTTGTCCTATATTTGTTCAGAACATGTTTTAGTTCAAACTTAACACAAGATCATTTGTTGGCTTCTCGTGCCCACTCCTATGAGTTAGGAATTAGCATTTTGGAATTTCCTCCTATTGGGTGTAATTCCTTACTATTTCAAAACCTTACATAAGTTTCTTTGCCTATATTTATTGCTTCTTAATTTTCTCTTTTGGTGTTTTGTCCTTCCAATTTTTCAACAAAAAAAAATGATAATACCACTATATGTTTCATTATAGAGAACTGACGTATGATAAAAAGAATATTTAAAATATTAAATTGGTGATAAATAAAATTTTTATGAATTCATTTGGTAACACAAATTTGAAATACTATAGTGAAAAAAAATGTTTGATTTCTGTTTTTAAAAAGGAAACAAACACCAAATTTTTTTATGGACAGATGTATTAACAGAATACAAGTATAAATGTCATATTTTTAAACATATTTTCATTAATATATACATATATATAGAACTAATTTTTTAAAAGGGCATGGGTTTTAATTTATCAATTTTTTAAAATCATTCTTGGAATTATTATATAATTTTAAACTATTAAAAACAATATTTAAAAAAAGTGTCATATAATGATGGAATATAAATTTATACATGTTAAATTTTCATTAGTCTATGTATTAAATGTATTTAAATCTATTAATTTCTAGAGGCACCATAGAATTTTCTAAAAGATGTTTTAAGTCTAGTTTGAATAAATTTCTATGAAATCCTTATAAAAAAATTAATATAAAAATAAATAATCTATAAAGTTCTTGGGCTAGCAAAGTAAGGGCACAGTACCATCTTTGCCAAATTGCAGTGTATCTTCATCTTAATTTCATCAATAAACCTCATTTTTTCCTTAATGCATTCCAATCCCCTTAAAGTTTACTAATGATGGTCACTTAATTGATGGAGAGGCAAAAAATAAGTTACTCCTAGGCTTCAAAGCAAAAGCTGAGCTTCAAGCTACTCTAATGCCCTTAAATTAAAAGCTTGAAAATGTATTAGTTCTCTTATTTCCTGTATTGGCAGTGTATCTGAAAAAGTGTTTAAAAATATAAAAGAAAGATACTTGTATCGTGTGTATTTTACGGGTTTTTTATATAAAAAAAATCAAAATTACATATATATACTAAAATAAAAAAATTTACATAAATATCTTAATTTAAATTATATAAAAATTGATTTTAAATCGACTTCAACCTCAATATAAAAATTGATTTAAGTCATTTTTAACTGTGTAAGTTATACAAAGAAGTCGACTTCTCCTAAAAAAAATACTACAAAAAGTGATGACAGCGAAGATGCAGCGTTCATACTTGTTCCGGTGCTTGCCAGCAGCATCAGCGATAAAAGAAAGAGTGAGAGAGATATTCATAATTCTGTGTGTTTTCTATTTTTGCTTACCCTTCTTAATTTCTTTCATCAAATAAGTACTCTAACAATATTTTTTTCATCTTCGATTCCATTAACCAAGAAATTCTTCTTCATCTTCGAATCTTCAATGGGATGAATTCTTTCATCAATCAATGAATTCTTCTTCATCTTCGAACTCAATGGGTTTACGACGTGTTTATCAACTGCAGAGAGGGCCATGACAATGGCTCCAACAGCTTCGTTTCTCAACTCTATAGTGCCCTCTCAAGTGTGAGAGTCCACACTTTGATAGTAACAACGTGATACAAAAACACTTTGGACAATCTTCCCTGATGTTGCTGCATATAAACATCCCGCGACCGAAACTGTTACTTTTGCTCTATCTGTTGAAGCATAGAGCACGGGAATTTCACGAAGGTTGCAGCAAGGCAGAGCAATTTCGATTCCAATTATTACTCAATTTAAATTAATTTGACGGAATTTTTAAATTCAATAACGATTAGTTAATGTCTGAAAGTGTTGGTAACAAAAGAATAAGAGTATGTAATTGAAGACATGAAAAGAAACGGGGAAAGGAGTGGAATAAGAATTCACTTGCCATGTGATGTATCGCAAAGAGCTTCAATGGCGGCGACAAAGAAATAGAGAGAAGTGTGCGTGGAACCTCACTTGTGTGTTTTTCTGTAAGCTTCTACTGTCACACTTTCACTAATCTCAATCTTATAACTACCCTCCATGCAAGCAATCTCAATTAGTTTTGGTTCTTTTTTCCAAATCCAACAATGAATTTGCTTGGTGTTTTAAAAATTTTTTTAAAGTGAAGTTGATTATAATTAATTTTTTTATAATTAACTTTTTTATTATTTTATTAAAATGATTTAAATTAATTTTTATAATTGATATTAAAATCGATTTTAATCGACTTTTATGTAATTTAAATTAGGATATTTATGTAAAAATGTTTATTTTCATATATATACGTAATTTTGATTTTTTTTATTTTATTTATGTAAAAAACTGTATTTTACTCCACAAAATTAATTTCTTAATTTTTGTTTCATATGTAGTGATAAATTTTTTCCCTTTTTAGTAAATTGGATGGACTAAGCTCCATAAGAGTATCTCTGAAACTCCCAATGAACCAAGATATGATAATATCATTTATTGGGTGTTAAGAGGATCCGGATCGCCTGCAATTTTGGCAGGAACTGCAGGCTGCAGTTTTCTGTTCGCTTAAGTGAATTTTGATAAAAAGTGATTTTAGCTTAAGCTAAAATAAATTTGCTTAAGCCAATTTTCGCTTAAGCCATAAAAATTCGCTTAAGCAAAAGTAAAAATACACTGTAGCATCTTGATTCGCTTAAGCAAAAATACGCAGGAAGAAGAAAATGCTTCCTTCTCTCCATTACTTCGGTTCCCTCTTTTCTCTTCTCCTTCCAATCCAGCCACCCTCTTATTCCCTCCCTCTGACTCAGTCTATTTCTTTCCTTTCCTTTCCCATCTCTTCTTCCTTCAGCTCCACCCAATGTTCTTCCCCCTTTCTCCTCATCTAGCTCTCCTTCCCTCCCCTCCCCTTCACCCCACTCATTCCCCTCCCCTTCTCTCCTTCATCTAGCCCTTTTTCCTTCTCCCTATTAGCCTTTTCCCGCTCCCTTGTGCTTAAGCAAATTTAAAATGAGTAGCAAAAAAATCAGAAGAAGAAAAGAGAAAGTGAGGCTGAGAGGGAAATTAATTGAGGCAAATTTTTGTAGCTTAAGCGATTTTGTTTTAACTTAAGCCAAAATCACTTTTTACTAAAATTCGCTTAAGCAAAAAAATTTTGCTTAAGCGAACGGGAAACTACAGCCTACAGTTCCCGCCAGAATTGCAGGCGATCCAGATTCGTGTTAAGAACATCAACATGAGTGTCTCTAAAACTCTTTAACCTTTGCTCCTGCCACCCACTTTACCGGTGACGGCGGCACATCAAAAATATTTTCAGATAGGAATTAATTTGATAATAAAATATTATAAATTAATATAATAATAATTTAAATTTTTTAATAAACTAATTTGGCTACCAAAATTAAGGCTTTAGTCCCTATGTTCTACTCGTTTCATTCTATGAAAAGGTGTTTAAAGTTAAAATTATTCAACTTTTATCAATAAAAATCTTGAAGCCCTTTATTAAAAAAATCAATAATAGAAATATTCATTAATATATATATATATATATATATATATATATATATATATGATATATTTAAAACAGAAATTTTTTATTTTTATTTTTATTTTTTAATTTCCTTTCAAGTACTTTCAAGAACAATTATTTTTTTTTATTCAATTCATCTGAAATTTTCTTTAATCAGATTCAAACTGATACAATCTGTTAAGTATAAAATATGAATTTAGATTAACTTTAAACCTTTTTTTTACGATCTAACATTTTTTAACAGCCCATAAAATTTGAAACACAAATTAGAGCCTATAGTTTGTTTTAAAACGTGTAAGAGAAATTGTAAATGACACGTCACGGACTGTATTCCAATTTCTAAAGATTATTTTATGGCCATCTATCTTATCATAATTCATATATAATCACCATCTCAGAGGACCAGACCAGACAAGACAAAAACACTTCAACAATGGTAACAGTGATCAAAGTGGCAGCGCTTTCTGGTTCCCTCAGAAGAGCTTCATACAATTCAGGCCTCATCCGTGCTGGTTCCATCCCTCCCTCTCTCTATTTCTTTTTTTTCTTTTTATTTTAGCTGTATATTTCTTTATCTTATATGCTTACAAATTTATGTCATTTTGTTGACTTTGGTGGATGATGATGGTTGCAGCAATTGAGCTAAGTAAAGGAGCAATAGAAGGAATTGAAATTGAGTTCATAGACATTTCGGAGCTACCCATGTTGAACACTGATCTTGAGAACCAAGGGACTTATCCACAAATAGTTGAAGCTTTTCGCCACAAGATTCTTCAAGCTGATAGTGTTCTCTTCGCTTCTCCTGAGTATAATTATTCGGTTACAGGTAACCATCTTTCTTTAACTAAATGTGGTGTACTCATGCACCCCAAAAAATTCAAATGGGTCATTTCATTTTTGGGTGTGATGCTGCTATATGTCGACGAATTGCTTTTGATGTTGGTTCTATTTAGTCCCTTGAAATTATCTGTTTTTTAATTGATGGCTGTGTTTAGTTTGGATTGTTTAACCACATGCATTCTTTCTTAGATAAATGTATTTGTCTTCTTTTATTTTATCCTTTTTCTTTTAAATTGTCATAGATATGTAAGCATTTTGGAAAAAATACAAAACTTTTAGTACCCTTTTCCATGTGATGAAAGTAATAGTTTCTGAATAAATGTATTTGTCTTGTTTTATTTTATCCTTTTTAAAAAAAATTGTCATATATGTAAGCATTTTGGAAAAAATATAAACTAAAAAAAATTTAGTACCCTTTTTCATGTGATGAAAGTAATAGTTTCTGAAAAAAAAGTATGTCATGAAATTAACATTTTTTAACTTAAGTCAATGGATTGATGAGTTCATAGCAGAGATCTTAAGTCCAATGACTTCACTCTTTATTTTATAAATTAAGGTAGATTAGTATATTACATTGCAAATTGGATCATGATGGATAAATTTAGACCACTAATAAATCACAAAATATATAAGCATTTTGCTAACTTGTCTTATTTTTTGTGGTAGCTCCACTGAAGAATGCAATTGACTGGGCATCTAGGCCTCCAAATGTTTGGGCTGGCAAAGCTGCTGCAATTGTAAGCGCTGGATATGACTTCGGTGGGGGAAGGGCACAGTATCATCTTCGCCAAATTGGAGTCTATCTTGATCTTCATTTCATCAATAAACCCGAATTCTTCCTTAATGCATTTGATCCCCCTAGAAAGTTCAACAAGGATGGTGACTTAATTGATGAAGATGTCAAGGACAAGTTAAAGCAAGTTCTTCTATCCTTGCAGGCATTTACACTGCGACTTCAAGGCAAAGGCTGAGCTTAAAGCTACTCTAGTTATCAAAAAAATATCAGATAAGTTGTGGATTTCAGAAATTCAAATGTGATTCAAAACTTGCATGTTAGCATTTTGACAATGATATGAAGCTTGAAAATGTGCCAAGTTATCATTTTGAAAAATGCTTTATGTTGCTCTCTTGTTTGAGTTTCAGTTTTACTTTTTGTGAGTACAATCTATAATGTTTCTGTTCAAGTTATTCGCATTGGTCTAGCTCATGTGCTTGTTAATTGTTACTTGTTATTCCATTCTAGTTTTGGTTTAAGGTTTCCTACTAGGTATGAATAGAATCCACCATGTTTCTGTTCAAGGATGTTGAAATTAGATTCTAAACCAAATAATCACTGCAAATCAAGGTCATCCATATTCACATATGATTTTGACTTTGTTAATTGAATTAGGTTTTGCTTTATCAGAACTCTCTAACTTTGGCTCACAAGGTTGATAATGTTACCATGAGATAAGCTATGTTATCTAAAATCAATAATGAAGAAGCTCAAACATAGTTACCAAATACATGTTACAGGTACACGAGTACATGGTTCGTGTTCACACAGGGTTGATCACCTTCACAATAGTTCTTTTAAGGAGAACCCAGTACTGATACAACGTAAGGTGAATTTGATATACAGGATACAGGGTCATTAAGAGAATTTGTTAAGCTTTGACTGTCCTCCTCTTGAGATAGCTTTTAAGAGTAAGTTAGGTCCAATTTTCTAATAGAATTCAGTAATTGAGCTAAAAGACCAAACACAAAATACTTTGCAGTCACAATGGTATCCTCTGAAAGTATATGTTTAACCAAGTTGGTGCATGGTTTGGTATGATGCCAAATCAATGTGCAATTCACATTCCTAGAGGCTTATTTTTCCATAAGTGCTTGATTCATAAAATGAACGTATTAACACGTGTCCTTAATCCTTATCACCAAAAGAATAAGCTCAAGAGTACAGGCCCAAGAGCACAGTCCTTTTTTGCTCTTTATAAGTCCAAGATTGAGGACATGGATCAAGGATATTGGACCCGTTCTTTTTGTTTGCTCTTGCTCTCTACACTTTTGGATATTTAACCCAATTGCCGATCCTTCACCCAATGACTTGAAGTCCTTATAATTATGACCAAAATGAAAAACCAATGTCATTCATTCACTCTATCAAGACAATCATTCCGACCTTCAAATAACTGTTATACAGACCCTCCATTCAAAGAACCTTTTCCGTGTAGTTTCTATATAATGTGAACAATTAGGCACTTTAAACAGGGCCTCAAGACTGGAATTAGCCCTCCTTTTGGTTGGTAACTATGTAGGAAATGTTCTCTTGAGTTAACTCGTTTGATTAAAGAATGAAATTTAGATCTAATTGTTTTTGTTCCTATTTTTTTAATTAAAACTAGACATATATCTAATCAGCACAATAAGCGAGTGTTTAAATTGTAAGTGTCTATTACACCGTAAATTTAAGAGAATATTATATATTATCTTTAAATTGATGATCATAATAATTTTAAAATATTTATATTTTTTAAATAAACTATTAATTTTATGCATTAATATAAAATTAACGATGATAATTCTATTTCTTCCTCTAAGGTAAATTTTCATATATGTCATAATAAGCCCAATCCTCTGTAAATTTGTACTACCATTGCTGGGGTCACCATACTTGAGACTACTTTATCAAATATTTGATTTGATAAAATATTTGTCCCATATGAATCGATTGTAGAATACTCCAAAAAATCTTAAGACGAGATAATTTTAAGACCTTAAACTTGCAATGCATAGGACTAATGAGTCATCAAACTGTCCACTTTTCCAGCTCTTATGATCATATATCTCGATCTTTTGTATAAAATAATTTCAGTCATTTTTTAAATACTATATACGTTAAGGCAAATTGTTTGTATACAGAAAATATTTATCTTGCCTCCTTAATATGTAATTCATTAAAATTATAGGATTAGATCGTCTTAGGTTTAACAATAATTTTATGTTAAGAAAGAGATAATAAAGTAAATAATTTGTTTCTTGTGTTAAATTTAATTTTGCAGTTATTATAACTTTTTTGTGTAGTTTATTTATTTATTTTTTTCGCATTTAAAGGTCTAAATAAATTAGATTTTTTTTATCCAAACTTGTTCTACATAAATTTGCTACTCACATCAAACTGAATAAAACCAAAATAATCCACAACTCTAGTTAAATGCCTGTGACAAAATATAGACAACCATAGTTTTAATATACATGATCTTCAAAATATCCTCAGTTTGCCAACTCAATGTTGCGATTCCTATATTTATACAAAATATTCATTTAGTTATGCAAAATATAGGAAAAGAGAAGTGCTAAATAGTGCCAAAATTTTTCCATTGAATTCAACAAACGTATCGTGTCTGAATATAATTAGTTTAAATAATAAAATAAAAAATAAAAAGAAAATTTGACAAAAAAAAAAAAAGACAGTGTTATACAATTTTTTCGTCATTTGTTGTACTAAGTAGCAATTTTCATAGGAAAAATAGATGTTAATATATATGAGTTTAAAATATTATTTTTGCTCTCTCTTTATATACATATAAAGCAAGGATTACATTACTCTTATAATAACTTAATAACCCCTTGTAAACATTAAATTCTATTAATTTAACTAATTAAAAATTCTTCTTAAATAGATTAAGTTTACAAAAAATGATATAAATAAAAAATTAATAAATAATCTATTGAATAGTTTATTTTATCATTTGATAAGGATAATCTTTAATGTGTCACATAATTAACCGAAACCCATGAAAAGCAAAATAAATAAATTAGTGAATAACTTAATGTTTACTTTGTCAAATATATGAGTGTGCATCGTCATTCAGCCGTACCTTTGATTCCACTCAACCCCTTCAGAACTGATTGATTATAGTGACGTTATAACAAAGTGATTCATTTCAGTGACGTTATAAACATTATATTTCTTCACTTCTCTTCAGCTTTGCAAGAACACACTGCCACTGACACGCTGCTCCGCCACCCTATCCTCTGCCATCTGCGGCGGTGAGAATGGTTGGGAAGCGTGTCACGTCAATAAGGGTTCTTCGCATCCCAAATTCTGCTTCTGCCACATTCTTCTGTCGATTCAAAACTGAATGCAAATTCAGCAAAAGACTAAGAAGAGTGAATGAAAGAAGTGAACGATTTTCCAAATTTGCTGCTATTTCTCTTCACACTTTCCTTTCATTCCTTATTATTCTCGAATACCCATTTTCAATGCCATCAAATTTTCGTTCTCTTTTTCTCGGAATGTGTCCCTCTCTTTCATGCAGATGCATGAATATATAACTATTTTTTTAGATAAATGATAACATGTTTTTTAAAATGTTAATTTAAAAATTAATTATTATCTTTAAAAATACTAATTAATATAGTTTTTTAGAATTTTTAATGCATCTTATTTTTTATTGTAATTCTGTAACTAATACTGGAAAAATACTATTTAATAAGACCCAATTTTTTCATGACATCGCCACGTTAAATTTCTTATATCTTAGACAAAGTATTGAATGGTTTTATTTTATTTTTATAAGAATATTTCGCATTTTTTTATGATTCTTAATATAAGTTTTTTTTTCTTACAAAAGTTTAGGAATATTTATTATTTTTATGCATATTCATTTATAAATAATAAAGTTTTTTAATTTTTAGTAATTAATATAACCCAAAAAAAAAGTTAATTTTAATAATTTTTTTAAGTCTGTATGATTTATTTGAAAGAGTCTTATAAATACAATTTAAAAAATATATATTTTTAAGATAAAAAAATATACTTTTTATTTGATATGTGCATAGAATACTAGAAAAATATATAGAGCGATATACATTTAATTAAAATAATATTTTAATATAAAAAAATTCACCGTTATTAAATTTTAAATTATATATCTTTAATTTTTTTACTATAATTATTTTGAAATTTATATTTAATTATTTTTAACTGATTGATAATATTTTTTTATATCACCAGAAAACGTAAAACTGAATTTATCAATCATATAAAATACTCATAGATATATAGATATTTATTTTATTTTTAAATATAGATATATAATGGGCTGAACTTAGCTGAATAATTGGTGGATCCAAATTTATTGTGCTAGGCCTGCTATGCTATCTGTTGCCAACCTGTTTACGTTAACTCGCACGTTGTCAGTTGTTGCCAGGTTTTATATATTTTCATTTTATTTTTTTCTTGCTCTTTTTTATTATTATTTTCTGACTGAGAAGTTTTTTTTAATATGGAATATAAAAATTATACTCTCTTTATTTTTTTATCTGTCTTTATTTTAGAAAATTTTTTTTCTTTTTTATATGTCTCATTATAATTTTAAGAATACACTTATTATTTTTTTTCTTACTATACCCTTACTTTTTATATAAATAAAATGGCTAATTAATTTGTATAATTTTAAAAATTAAAGAAAAATTTCGCTAGTATACTCTATTTTCCAATTTTTATAAAATGAAAAAAAAATAGTGGATTAAAATTTATGGTACAATAAAATGATTTAATGAATTACAGCAAAATCGTGTGATTTAGAATATTAATGAAAAGCTAATACTATCAAGAAGATAGAGCTAAGAATATATAGTGAATAGCTAATTTTTAATACTAATAACTCTATATAAGTTATAGAGTAGTCAAAATTTAATTTAGAAACAATATAATAAAAAATAAAAAAGTAAAATTGAAAAGTAGATATAAAAATTTAGTAATTTAAAAATATTAAATAAATTTTTAATCTGTGTATTTTAATCTTAAAAAAGAGGTAAAAAAGAACGGAGAGAGTATGTAATAAAAAATGGTATATGTAATTGCTCATAAATAGACTTTTATCACTGAAAGATTTGTGACAGAAAATAATATTAATAACACACCAATACAAGCTGTGTTAAATGCAAAATGCTGGTGAAAATAATATTATTATTAATCATTTGTGTGTGCATTTATTTCTCCTGAATATAAAT